GGTCTAATGCAACAATTTTGTCCCAAATGGCACAAGCACCAGGAGCTATAGTCAAATGGAATGAGGCGACCATCATAAATCCTTTATCTTCTCCATCTTTGGCGTTGACAGCGGAAAAGTTGCAGATTTATAGGAGTAGATTACAAGAAGGCTGTCTAAATGCGAGGGACGCAGAAAGTCTTCCCTCTGCATGGAAGTTTATGGTTAAGAAGTTTAATAAGGGCTCTAACCAATCAATATAGTAGTTTTATTGAATGTCTTAGTAATTGCATTTATTAATACTTATATATTCATTTGTTGCATTTTTATATATTTTTGTTTTTTATATTTTTATTTTTGTTTTATGTTGGTTATTTAATATTTTGTTTTAATTGTACCTTATTTAATTTTGAATTTGAATTTTGTATTCCATTGATGGAATTTTAATTCAAATGTATTCTAAACCTGAAGATGGCCTGTGAATCAGGCTGAAAACGTTTGTTTGTTTCAAATAAATTATATTTCTCGGCAAGAATAAGGTGTTAAGTATATGTATATGTAATTTATTTTTATTCCTATAATTCTGATTTTAAGGATTTTAATGGATAATCAGTTAATCATTATCTTAACTTTCTGTAATTTTTGCCATTATTATTCAGAGTACATTTAGTAGTTCAATACAATCATTTCAGTCTTTCATTTACAAACTTTTGGGTTTTTATATTTATAATAAAAGAGAAAGTTAAAAAAAATCAAACAGTTTGAAACGTATTGATAGTTATTTGTTTCTCTTAATTTTGTGAATGTACACATTTTCAGCATATTATTTCATATACTTATCTATATATATAAAAATGAATGTGTGTGTGTGTGTGTGTCCTTCATGCATTACCACACCATTTATCCAATTACCATGAAACTTTGAGAAGTTGTTTAATATACTCCACTGAAGGTTTCTGGCATAGTATGATTGCCATGAAGCTTTGGGAAGTTTTTTAATACACTTCCACGAAGGTTTCTGGAATTTATCTTACAATAGGCGCACGTTTACACGAGCATTCGAGCACTGTGTGTTTGATCGATTTCAAATTGTGAAGACCATTTCCCCCTTCAAAAAATATCTCTATATATGCATTTGTGAACTGTTATTTACAATATTTGTAATAATTTTTGTTTAATCACTTTATTTAAACTTTTTTTTGCTAATTATGTATTCACTTGAACTTCGTTAAAACCTTAACTGTACCCCGAACAACAACCGAAGTTGTAGTAAGAAATTAGCGTATTTTACCGATCTAGGTATCCCCCTTTTCCAAATTTTAATATCAACTCAAAATAATTTAAAAAGACAAATTACAATAAAACGGTTTATTATCCGACTATCAGAAATTTATGCTTCTAACACAATAAAGTGCTATAAATTAAGACACTTGGCGGGTTTTCTCATCTTTATTTAGTTGATACGTGTGATAGTAGTTGATATCAGAAATTTCACAACATGCCAAGGAAGAGAGGAAGGAGCAATTAAATAATTAAAATTGTAAAGGATTAAAAAATATATATATAAAAATGGAGAATATCACACTTCTGACAATCGCTGCAAGTGTATGGGCTAAATTTGGAGAATCCGTGCTTCTCGCATGGACAACTGTATGTGGCTGGCTCACGCGCCGGAAAACCTTCTGATTTATTCGTGTACGCACCAGACGGAAAAACAAAAAAATCGTGTATCCATAAACACTCCAATAAATAAATAGAATTGAAACATCACTTTGAAATGTTTTCCTGATGAAAATGAATAATAATAATAAGTTTCAATAAAAATGATAAAATGTAAATTGAATTTTATCATAATGAGTTTGCTTGAATTTCCTTTCTTCTGAGATCGCAGCAATGCGCAACGGGTAAGCTAGTTTATAATAAAAGAAAAGTACATTTCATGCCAACATTTAACTTTATAATGTAATTTCGCTAGCATGTTGTGGCATTACGAATGGCAACCTTTAGCTAATAAGAGTTCACAAGCACTTTCGAATAGCATAAAGCTATCATCATCAGATGTAAAAACTTTGTAACTCCGATGAAAAAACACTCCTGGTGAGAAGTATATCGGAGGTCACTGATTGTTTTCACACTTAGGTGGGAAAGTTGACACTTAACTGATTGGAATGCACCATAAGTGTCAACAGAAGTCGATCATGTGACTCATTTCCCATGAATAATGTATAAAAGCTTGAGTCCCCGGAAACTTCGGGCGACTGAAGGAAGTTATACTTGTAACTATGCATATTCCGGACTGAAAGGACATACGACTGACCACAGCCATTTGAACTTACATGATTATCGCCATTCTATCGGTCCTGCGCTGATTATGAGTCTTACAGACATTCAACGAACGCATATTAGATATATCCTCATAGAGGTATTTGTATTTTTAGAGCTTTGTGAACTCTCTCTCTCCGTTAAAGCTATTAGAGCGTGCCTTTTTGTATAACGGAAGTATTTAACTGCATTTAACCTATGTATCCTAGCTTAGTTATATAAATAAATGCTTGTTTAGTTTGTTAACCCTGTCTCCTGTGTCTTAACAACACCTGCTGACTTACCGATGCACTCCCCACTTACTTTTTGCCCTCCTAGCCATGCAACAAATCAGAGATCGGGTTCTACCAACCTGTTGCAGAGTAAGTGATCATTTGGGGATTAGCCCAGTGGCCTGCTGCTTATCTCACAGAAGGTAGGAGGTAAGCTCTCCTAATGAGGGGAGTTATGGCAGAGTTCACATAGTTTATGGGGTTGGAAGGCTGTTGCTGGGATAATTTGCAGTGCATTATTGTTTTTATGATATACAGAGAATAGGAGCTCAGGAGATGTAATATCTAGATCTCTATCTAAGATTTCTAGATCTAAGAAAGAAATTTTGACATTTTGTTCTTCCTCTATTGTGAAGTTGATAGATAGATAAATAGAGGCCAACGCTTGAATAAATTGTTTTAGATGATCAGTAGAGCCTTCTCATGAGAGTAGTATGTTGTCAACATACTGTAAATACATAATTGGGTATTGGATGGTCAAGGGGGCATTGAAAATACGATGTTCAATGTTGTGCATGATGAGCTCTGCCAACATTGGTGATAGAGGGGAACCCATTGGCACTCCCTGTGTTTGTTTATACATCATGCCATTACATTGAAAATAATTGTTTTCAGTTGTGAGAAAGAGGGCTTCATGTAAATGTATTATGTGTGATGTTGGGTAGCCTGAGTTGAGCAGCAGCGCAAGTATGACGGCCTCGAAATATGGTACTGATGGATACAAGGACTTGATGTCAACTTTGTACAAGTTGTATGAATTAGTGGGGAGGTCTTTTAGTTTATTAAAGATGAATGCTTTAGCTTCCATGGAGGAAGTGGTTATGAGTGTGGAAAGGAGATAATAAAGCCATAATTTGCTTAGCTATCGCAGATTCTAAATGGTATATGGCATGGGTGCATATGTTGACTAAATGGCCAGTCAGGTTTATGGGTTTTTGCCTTGAAAAATAATCTAGGGCAAGCAACATTTGTTAGTGGAATATCATCCAACAAATATCGTACTAAGAAAGACACGTAAGATTATAGCTCTTCCAGAAATTGTAGCTTTCTTAGTAGGTCCTCTCAATCCACCAATGAATGTTGCTTGCCCTAGATTATTTTTTGAGGTAAAAACCCATAAACCTGACTGGCCATTAAGACCATTAAGACCTTTAGTCAATCAACTTAGTTATCAACTAAAAATTGAATAAATTTAAAATGAAGATTGCCTAGTGTTCATGTATTTACACTATATGGTGTTCAAAATGAAAAAATAATCACCATCACGGTTTCAAGAACGTAAAAAATATGGACATTATTTAAGCAAGCTAGTTAACATCTCTAGTACTTTATTATTGTTCACTATTCATTTTTGGGATATTACAATACTCATATGGCTGCTAGAGTTTTTGAATTTTATTCTATTTCAAATTCAAATTAATATTCTATCCACATGCTTCATTTAAATTCATAAGCTGTTCAAATGTTCCCAACTTGGAAACAGTTGTATTCAATTTTTCACCTGATGATGATAACTTTGTGCTATTTGAAAGTATGAACTCTTTTATTTGCTAAAGATCACCATTCATAACACCACAACACGGTAGTGAAATTACATTATAAAAATATACTTATTTGTTAAGAGGAAAAAACTCAATATTTATTTTATTTTATAAAGTACTCAATAATGCCAAAAAGGGCAAAGCATGACCACTCCTGTAATTAAACATCAACAAAATAGAACAATCCCAAAGATTAAAATATATGCAAAAAATATTGATGGAAATGTGAGATTCTGAACACCCCCCTTTATTAATTGAAAATTTATGTTAGAAATAATATTTCTGATTTAAATGGAAGAATTTTAAGTTAAAAACAAAGGAAACTGGTAAAAGTCACTTCCTTCTCAACAGAAGTTCAACATCCTTTTTTGTTTTCCCTTATCTTCCTAAATTTTGAGTCTCATACAGTCCAGTTACCCCTCTGTAAACCCCCACTCATCCTAAACATGTGGGAATAATACAATTCTCTCATTGTAGAAAATCATCAAAAAAGGGGATTCTTTAGTATCATTCGGGGAGTACGCCATGAAATTCCTTAAGAGAAGGGATTTTGGCCAACGCCCATATTCGACTCCCGAAATTATACAAAGCTTGTTATTAAGTTACTAAGTAGAAGAAAATGTTTATTTAAGTGCCGCCAAAGAATTAACAAAAAGATAAGAACATTCGCATCGATCTGAAAGTAAGAAGAATACAGAAGAAACTATACATATATTGAGGTAGTATGTTTTAACTGGAAATGTAATATCTCTCTTCGTGACTTCCATAATTATAATTTGAGAATTCAATTTTGTATTTTTATTTCTTGTTTATTAAATTTTTGATTTTTATTGTTAAAGAAAGGTCTCCTTTGTCTCTCATTATGTCCGAATCAAAATACTTCTTCATCTCCGTATTGATGCGTAAACACGTGTTAATCCACGTTTAACAAAAGTGATTAACTGGTGACATCATCCTGATATGGATCTGAATCTCAAAATTTGGATCCCTTTTAAACGCTCTTAAGACCATCCTTCAACTAGAGACCGGATCTCCAGATCCCTGAACTCTCGAGAACAGATTTCACTTAATCTGTGCCGATTAAGTGATACAAATTTTACGGATTTGTACCCCCGGCTAACTCACAGAAATATATAACATGAGAATATCTACTAGAGCTGGTATGGTCAACTTTTGTGTACATAAGATCTACTTTTTATCTTAAAAATATGTCGCGATCAACTCGTTGTAGGCATAGTCTAAGTCAGGGATGGGCATCCCGCAACCCGAGTTGCATAAAATGTGTATAAATATATCATTTTCCTAGCTTAAGAAGTATGCAGCAAAAATTCAAACATTATTTTCTACAACTTATGTATGTGAATAGTTTTTCCTGCAATGACTTTAGTAAAAATTAAAAAAAGAAACCGGCTGACAGATTCACTTCGAAACTAATTTAAAACTAGCAGTGACTAATATTTAATCAAACATTTTCGATACATTACTAGATGCTAAATTAAGTATACCTATTCTAATTTATAATTATATATGAATAAATAATTGTGATTTACTGGCATTTTCCCACCTCTTTTATGTTGTATGCGGTTCACGTCAGTTCAAAAGTTTTGAAATGCGGCCCTTACACAGAAAAAGGTTGCCCATCCCTAGTCTAAGTGGCAAGGGGGAGGGAGGTGTGAAATACATACTATGTTTAGATAGATAAGAAAAGCCACAATTTAATTTAAAACGTGAAGAAAAGGCACTTACATTTTAAACAGAAGAAAAATTGAAACTCAACGTCGTCACTTTTGGGGACCACCACTTCACCCTTCCTCTCTCTATCGTGTCCTGACCTACTCTCTCTGTCCCTTCTTTTTTTCAGTTTTACGACCCTTTGTCTACATTTCTTATTCCCCTTTTACAACTGTACGCAAATGGACTGCACATGGACCGACAAAACTGCATCTGAGGGAGAACGAGGAGGTCTGATATCACTACAGTTGCATTTGCGTGTTATGTTCACCTGTTGCATTCAGGTACAACTTACAGGTGAAACACATTAAGTCAAGACATCGCGAGTGATTGACCAAAATTGGTTTTGCGATTGACCGATCGATTGCGATCGACTTGTTGGCCACCCCTGTACTAGAGTAATTACATTTTTGTTTTGGGAATTCTTTTAATTGCCAAATTGAAGTAAAATAATTGTTAAAAAATATACTTCTTATAAGATCATTGAAAAATCAGAAATCCTATGAGTTACAAGTTAGTATACACTATGTTAAGAAAATAGTGTCTGAAAAGTTATTGTGCATTGAGAAATGTGTAATGACATTAAAGCTATATATACAGTATTGTGTATGAGACTTGTAAGCAAGTCCTTTATTATGATATTCTTTTGGGTGCACTGATGATGTGAATGTGAGGACAATCTGCACACACTGGAGAAGGTAAAGATGACAATTAACCAATATATGAAACAGATTACTCTGCTGCACAATAAATTTTTGAACACTCTATATTACTATTAAATGACACTTTCCTAAAACTTCTTTAAAATGTTTTTATATTTTCCTTAACTTTAAATAAAATTTTGAATTGACCGTTATTTTAGATTTTATAATAATTAAAGTATGAACAAATTAAATATCAATTTGTTTGTGATATTGTATATTATATAAATTCATATTTATACTAGCTCTTTTACACTACTAAAATCAATTTATTTCTATTATATATTCATTTGTTGTCTTATATAATTTAAGATTAATATTTAATATTAAAATTAGAAGAAATAAAAAGTAGTTGTTACTTTAAAACTTATTTTTTTGTATAGAAGAATTCAGATCTTGTTGGATTAATTCAAGTTATGATAATTGTGTTTGGTGATACGCCTCCTGTTTATTCAAAACCAAGATCACAAGATCCTCCTACTTCAAATTTGCCCTATCCAACACAGATTTCAGGTAAGATATTTAATTATTCATTGGAAGTGTAAATTTATAATTATATAAATACTATAATACTTTCTTTTTGTAGTATTTAAAAAAACTTTAAATTAGTTTTCATTTTAATCCTTGAAAACCATTGAATTTTTTAATGATTACTCATGAAAGTTAGTTAATTAAAAAAATAGTATAAAGATGATAAAATAATATATTTTATTATCTTTATGCTTACACAATCCTGATTTATCAGTCAGGTAATTGGAAATTTTTTCATGATAAAATTCTGAGAGATTTCAATTAAATCAATCTTAAACATTTATTTGCAAATCTTTAAATTGTTCTAATCCAAAAAGATTTTGTGAGGAATAGAGGAGATGGTAATCAAACTGAGCAAGAAAATATATTAAATTTGAACTTCAAAATTTAGCTTTATTATTTTGAAATCTTATAAAATATTAATTTTCACAAAAGTGGAGTCCATTACCTATCAAATTAAAACAAGGTAAACAGATCAACAACTTACACGAAACATTTGATATACTTTAATGTAGTTGCATTACTATCTGAAGAAAGAAATGGCAAATTTATTTTTTTATTTGTTTCATAGATAAGGTTAGCTCTGATTATCAAGTAAAAGAGTTTGATGTACAAAAATTGGATGAGAATGTGCAGAGGAAGAAATATCAAAATTGTTATATAACAAGAACAATGACAATGTTAACAAAAGCACGAGAGCATTATTTCAGCTGTATTTCTCTTGACGATATAATGGATAAATGTGGTGATAAAGTTAATCATTTAACCCAGTGGTTCTTAACCTTTTAGTGATGAAGGACCATTTATCAAAATTTTTGTCTTGCCATGGACCACGAGCTGTTTGGCAGTAATATAGGTTCTTATAAGGTTGTTCTATAAATTAAACACGTAGAAAATTATTCGGAATCAAGAGTATTATATTATTTGCGAAAGTATTACATTAATTATATTATTTTAGTGCGATTTTTGTGACTGCATACTGTTTACCAACTGCTGAATTCTTGGTTCGGTGCTACTCAAAGCAATTCATGTTGGCACTGGCATCCAACCGATTTTGATGTATTTTGATTTATTTTTAATTATCAAAAGCACTGAGAATCCTTGCTCGCATAAATATGTGGTTGAAAATAGTTAGGTACTGTAAAGCAATTTCTCAAATTTTAGGGAAAGCAATAGCTTTTTGGCTCCAAAAATCTTTAAGATTAATTCCTGTCTCGAATGTATTCTTGCAGTTACTATCATGTTGCATTTCAATTAACTTTTCTTGTATTTCATCCGGCACCTTAGAAATGTTGACTATGAAAGGATTGCAAATCAGTTTCCTTGCAGTCAGGAAAATAGTGATTGAATTCATTTTTCAAGCTTTGCAAATGGAATGTAATGTTCTTTTGTATTTGTCCTTTAATCTCAGCACACTGTCAATCAATAATTGGATTCAATGTATCAAATGCAGAAAAATTTTCTCTTTCGACTTTGCTGATCCATAGGTCGATTTTAGCGATAAACGCACTGATTTTATCTTCAAATGCAAATTTATTGCTAGTGACTTCCAATTTCATATTTTCTGACCGTGCACCATACCCCAGCCCAGTCCGCTATCGGCTCTAACCTTGACGTACTGCGCATTGTCATCAACTTGTCATTTATTTAATAATTTTGGGATAACTTCGCAGACCACTTTGGGTGCTTTCAGGGACCACAGGTTAAGAACCACGGATTTAACCAAATGACTAAAAATGTCATGGAATGGTGACTGGTTTTGTGATGCTATTGAAAAGAATATATAATTAGATGCTATTAAAAAGAATATTAAAATTTACAAATCAGTTGGTTACAAATCAGAGGTTAATGATGAGAAAGAAAGTGAATTGGGAAAGGAAACAGATATTTTGAATGATCAAAAATAATATTATGGTACAGTCGACCCCCCTATAACGTACGTTCCTATAACGACAATTCCTATAACGTAGCGAAAAAATTGTAGCAACTTTCGTATAACGTACCTCCTATAACGTCGTTTCGCGACAAGATTGATAGAGTCTGGACCAATAGTGGATGAGCAGCCGAACTACTTTCCTCCGACCCTGCGCCACGCTACGGAGCGGCTAAATTGAGTTTGCTATCGTCTGTTTAGTATTATATATAAATTATATATAAATTAGGTACTGTACATATAATTATATATTAATTATATATAAATTAGGTACTGTATATATAATTATATATTAACTTAATTTATTGTAACTTTATTATAATTATATATATGCTTTCTGCCGCCTGGCAACACGCTACGGAGATTTTAGGCTAGTAAGTTGAGTTTATTATCGTCTGTACAGTATGTAAATTAGGTACCGTAAGTCTAATACAGCACTAATTTTATACATTTCTTGTGAAAGAAACACTTCTTATTCAACGGCCATAAAAATTATTTATATTAATGATGTCTCCAAAGGTCAAGTTATTTTTATGCGAAAAATTCGTTATTAGAAATCGCGGCCGCCGTTTAATGTGCTGTTCCGCGATGAAAACCAGCTTTAAGCAACGGCGTAGTCGAACGGTACACACTCGGTAAGTAATCCTATAATTTTTTGTTTATAGCATAGTTTATACGGATTACTCCCAAAAAATTATACGTGTTTTGGAAATGTTGAGTCGAATTAGTCTAGAATCGGTTAATTTTATAGAAGAAAACCTTTCGAACAGCCTTAGTCCGTAAAGTTCCCACCTATCGGGCTGCGATTGGATCATGTATTTAATCGTTCCTATAACGTAAAATTCGATTAGCGTGGAACGTATCTAAGTGTTATAGGGGGGTCTACTGTATGTAGATTAGAAACAACACAGAGTTGGTTGATTGCCACAAAATTGTTAAATGATTTTAAAATAAGAATCTGTTGGTAAGTCAGATTGATCAGAAAATTTCATTATAATTTTGTTTTTGATCAGAATCAGAGAATTGGTTTGATATGTTCTTCAGTTATGTGATATGATTATAATTGATGAGTTAAACTTTAACAAAACTGATTCACATAATAGAGAATTGTAGATAAGTATAAATGACTTATCATTATATTTTAGGGAGAGAGTATATGAATCATGTCATTTCGGTAAGTAAGTAAAGAAGGAAAAAACTAAAATTGTATTTAGTTTTTTTTTATTGCATTTAATTTTAGGTTATTGCATTAAACTAATTCATTGTTAAGAAAACTTTAGTGGCATAGTAGCAATCTCTTCTTAATGGCTATTGTATCAGTTAGATTTATTTAGATAGAAAATTGTGCTGATGTTATTAAACTGTTTTATTTAGAAATAAAGCAGTTCTTTTAGAAAATAAAATTTGAGATTAAACTATTTGAATTGGTATCTGACTAAACTCTAATTGTTTATAATATACTCTATAAGTTTATCTCATAAAGGTAGATATTAAGTTTATCAATAAATACTTAGTCTAAATCATTTTTTAATGCATTAATGCATTTTTATTTTAGAATTTTTTCACTTGTAACAGCAAAATTTAAAAAATGTTTTATTATTATATTATGATTCATAAATTGATAGTATCTGTTAAAGTTGTAGCTTATGCAATTGATTATACAATGTCAATGTTCTGTAGAAGAATTTGAAATTTTATTGCTGTTGGTTCTTCTCAATTTGTAATCAGAATAAACCTGTTACTGTTTATAAGTATTAATTTCATTAAAAAATATAACTTGGTAGACGAGAGGTTTAGATGATATTGCTTTGATGTCGGAACAATACAAATGTTTAGATGCTTGTCTATCTTGGATTTTCTTTATACATTTGTGTAGATAAATACATCTAACCTTTGATTTATGTGGAACATTAGTTTTGTGTAAATCAAAATTCTGTATTCCAAGACTAACACATGAGAAATGGAGGATTCCAATTTTTTGTACGGGATGTCTGAAGTTACTGTGCAGGGAGAAATTTGTAATGACATTAAAGTTATATGCATGAGACCTGTAAGTTGTCCATTTGGTATCAGTTGACTGTACAGTACATTATTGCATACAACTTACAGGTCTCATAAGCAATACTGTAGTTTAACATTAATGTCATTAGGAATTTTTCACTGCACAGTAACTTTTCAGACATCCTGTATACTAGTCAGTTTTTTTTTATTAACTAATGAATGAAAATGAAATTTCATTCTGTATCATTACTTGTTAATAAGGAAACAGTTTCCATTTTTTTTCTTCTTTTAGTTGAAAGTCTTACATTACTTCCATTTCAAGATTATTCAATTTCCCTGCTTTTTTTTTAAAATCAAATTTACTGATTTGTCAACATTGATTGTCTTGGTTCAATAAAATCAATTATTGAAGCTTATTTTTTATTTTTATTTAAATTTTATAGATTTCCAGATGCGATGTTAAGTTCAATGCATATAGTATGAAGTTGTGATGATGCACGAAATGGCGAGTCTCTTTTTCTTTAATGTGTCAGTTTGAAGTAGCTATGACATGATTGTGATATTGTAGTAGTTAGCATAAATTTAAACATTAATGTCATCAGAGAAAATACTTAATTTTAATATAAAACATTGAAAGTAAAACACTGAAGAATATTTTTAAGTATTGTATTAAAATTGTGCTATTGAAATACCATATAAGTAGAACATTAGGTATATACAATATAAATATGATATGAAATCTGTAGTCAATCAGAAGTCTAAATTATTAGATTAGTTAATTTTAAATATAACCTGAAAATAATCTTAATTAACTTAAAAATTGACCCAAAAATAAAATGGCATTTCAAATTTTGATAAATATAGAATGTGTTTCTATTATGCACACATGCGCACAGTTAAATCTCAATATAGTGCCCTTCTCAATAGTGCCACCCTCCTAAAACTTCAGTAACTACTCATAAATGGATATTTTCTATAAATATTAATTACAAAATCTTTCAGTATCTGTGAATTAGTAAATGTATGATGATGCAGTGAGAATAACATT